CGAAAGAAACTCACAGTGTATTTGATATACAGAGTTATCTGAAAGAAACTCACAGTGTATTTGATATACAAAGTTGTCTGGAAGAAACTCACAGAGTATTTGATATACAGAGTTGTCTGAAAGAAACTCACAGAGTATTTGATATACAGAGTTATCTGAAAGAAACTCATAAAGTATTTGATATACAAAGTTGTCTGAAAGAAACTCATAGAGTATTTGATATACAAAGTTGTCTGAAAGAAACTCATAGAGTATTTGATATACGGAGTTGTCTGAAAGAAACTCACAGCGTATTTGATATACAGAGTTGTCTGAAAGAAACTCACAGAGTATTTGATATACAAAGTTGTCTGGAAGAAACTCACAGAGTATTTGATATACAAAGTTGTCTGAAAGAAATTGCTCGAAACATACTCTTTTGGCGACCTATTATTTGTTGCAAATATTTATTTATTTATTTTATTTCATTTTTGAAAATGTGCCTGATATTTAAGGAAAATTATTTAATGTTATATTTTGGACAGGTACATTTATCACTCGTAAATACTACCTGGATGATTATGTACAAATGTGTTACTCTTATTTAGGGGGTCCGGCATGGCCAGGTGGTTAGGGTGCTCCACTCGCAATGTGCGGGTCGTGGGTTCGAATCTGTGTCACACCAAACATGCTTGCCATTTCAGCCGTGGGGGCATTATATTGTGACGGTCAATCCCACTATTCGTTGAGAGTAGCCCAAGAGTTGGTGGTGATGACTAGCTGCCTTTGAATTTATGCACAAAACTACACAATGTGATATCTGTGTTCTGCCCACCACGGGTTTCGAAACCCGGCTTCTAGCGTTGCAAATCCGCAGACATACCGCTGTGCTACTGGGAGGCGAGACCTATACTATGGTAAACAAAAATTGGGTTCCATTTTAGTTCAGCATTCAAAGAACATGCTGGTATTTTATTTTGGCCTAATTTGGTTATTGCAAGTGTTTCAGATTGTTGTTTTTTCTTCTTTGACATAAAGTTGTAAGCAAATATTAAACCTGTCGAAACTATTATAATCATGAATCATTTAATCTTAACTAGTCATTACTCATATAGGATTACTTCTCTATATATCCGGGTTTCGATACCCGTGGTGGGCAGAGCACAGATAGCCTATTGTGTAGCTTTGTGGATAAATTCAAACAGACAAACATGTCTGAAGAAGAAATCTTTAGTAAAGAAATGATGAGTTTCTATCGGTATCAGTTTCTTTTTGATCGTAAAAATCAGTATTATTCTAAGACAATGTCCATTCTTGAGTAAAAATGAAAGAATTCTTGTTTTGTTTCTTTTTCATTATATTACTCAGGAGAAATACATAAATATGATTTTGATCCCAACCAGTAATTCACAAATACTATGTATATCAAAATAAAAAACAAAAATGTGATGGAACATTATGTTAAATCTTTGCATTTCACAACTTAATCAGTTTTATGCCCGAAGAAAGTACGCTTATAATGGTATGCATTCTTATATAACAAAACTGGAATATACTTGAAAATACATTGGGAACTCTTTGTTATGTTGACCGATTCCTAACATCACTTTCTTCACAGATATACCCGTAATTCACAACAAGACCTATATAAGATCTTCCTACAACCTACACGAGTCATTTTAGCTACGGATTAAGTGACAATTTTAACGCTAAGTGAATAATATTGTATATATTATGTTATCTTTACATGTACAGACATCAACATGTCGTTTAACAGGTCCAATTGGGTACCAACTTAGATTAAACTTTCTTCGAGCCTCTATAGGGCATCACAGAACCTTTTGTTTTTTGTAACATAATAGGGGGCATATCTGTAAACACCAGAACTGAGAACTGAATCCGAGTGGGAATCAGGTACTGGACGAAGTAAGGTAGTTGAATTAGCTGAAGTGGAAATGACACCCAACCTAGCAAGTGACGTCATTTCACTGAAATGTCCAAATCTTCTGGAGGTATTGAGTACACGATGAGTTCGTACTTGGTATGGAAGACTAATAAGAAGAGGATCAACACTTAAATTATAGAAGGAATATGTGTTTGGAATATAGTTTGGCTTAGAAGCCGTAGTATTGTATAAGTCTTTGGATGTAAGTGCAGTCGGATCATTTGACGGTTTCCACATAACTGGCGGTCCTGGTGTTAAACTTAACGTGGTAGTCTTGCTATGGAACAGTACATCTGCAGCATCCACATCCAGAAATGAGGGAAACTGGGTACGGGAGCTTTCTGACTCTATGATCTCCCTATGTTAGAATATCAGAAAAAAAAAATATAGATTTAATGATACCAAACATATTTAAAACAACAACTCTGTTTTGAGTGTAACTGTGATCTTTCAAGTAAATTACAAGAAATATTTAATCAAGGTAAACGGTTTCTACCGTATTTAAGACGCGCCGGTGTCTAAGATGCACCCTTATTTTGAAGACAAAGTTTTGGGAAAAAAAGCTACAGTCGCATTTGAAAGATTTTTATTGAACAAAAATTCAATTTGACACTTTAAAAATTAGTATATATATTGTTCTAAACACAAAAAGAACTCAAAACATCATAATCAGAAACTACCGTAAATCAAAAAAAGGTTTACTGTT